GCTTATTTGCACTGGGGTGTTCACGAAGTCGTGGGGTCTACCGTGTGTCCATACAATCAAATCACTAATAGCAAGTCATGGCGTTCTTTTACTGGAGCATTTCCATACTCATTGGCACCTGAGACGAAAAGGTTCGCCACAGCATTTACTTGAGCCGCTGCAACGCACCGATATGGTGAACCACATATCCCGCGCCCCTCAGCAGAGCACGAGAAGAGAGCCAAGTTTATTTGAGACAATAGAGCCGACGAGGGCTCCTCCAACTTGCAGCAGATGCCACCAAACCGGGCATACAAAAGCTGGGAACAATTGCCCTCTACGGCATGCCGAGCTTCTGCAGCGGCTAACCGCCCATGCGGATCCATTGGGAAACGAGATGAGCGAAATGGATGCCGCTCCAGGCGATAATACAGATGAGGTCTTCTCGAGTCTGGACTTGGCTCCAACGGAAGCCGAACTGCCACGAGGTGTCGAAACGTACCCGGTGCCATTCTTACCGACTGAAACACAGGCAAGCGCCGAAAGCAGACGAAGCAATGAACCTACGTCAGAGGTAAATTTTCCACTACCCGTCAGCGAACCCGATTTTACGGAGGATGTGGAAGAGCTCCGCGTGCTGGAGGCACGAGAATCATCGCTTTCGCCAGGTGGGGCAATTACATCGCCGTCGCCAGGACTTTGTCCGGAGGACACGGCTCATTCATCGCCTCCAATACCAGAAGAATCAACCATACAAACCCCGAGGTACGACTCGCCTGCAGCTATATATGCTCGCTATATTGCCGCAAGGGAGGCGTGGTATGCGGCGCAGCCCAAGGGGAGCATCAAGACTAATCAAATGTATCGCAAGGCAAGCGGGCTACCTTTGCGGTATGACAAACAGAGCTATGCATGGTGTTTAGATTACAAACAGATGTCTAGTCGTTGTGCTTCGCCATCGGGTATGAGAGAATGGACTAAGGAAGAAATGATGGCGTATCTGGACTGGAGCAAACAGGAAGATGATCGAATTGAGGCTAAGGTAGCTGCAGAAATACGTGACGATCCTGCGGCATGGAAAAGGAGGGGTGTAAAACACGTTTGGAGGAGCATAGAGAAAGGCATGGCAGAGCAGAAAGCACTGTATTCGCTTAAGGGGCAGGAAGAAGTCGAGGACTGTATAGTTGTCAAATAAAATGCAGTTGAGAAATATGCGCCGATACAGTGTCAGTAACTCCAGAAGTGTCCATGTGACTGGATATTCATACTTTGCAGAGTACACTTAGCGGGGTCCCGCGAAATTCTAAAGTCGCGGGTCCCCGCGAACCTAGGCGCTGCCGTCGATTGCCTGCACGCTTATCGGCCCCACACCTTGCCGCGACGTGAATCCAAGACAAGGGGGAACGCCGCTCTCTTCGAAATCAACTTTCGACAAGATCACCACTCTGCTCTCGCTCACGCCCCCGACTCCTCGCACTCTCAACACGTCAACCTGCGCTACGAACGAGCATTACTAGCTAGCAGCAGACATCTCAGCCTGCCCCGCGTCTAGCCTCACGCAATACCTCATATCCTCCCAGTCAATGATATAGCGTTTCTGTACCACGATGCCTCGAACAACTACGGCTGCGTCTCACCCGCAGCCTGTTGCTCTGGCTCCTAATGATGCTGGACGTGGAACCCTCGCCCTATCACCCATGCCTCTCGATGGTATTTCGGCCCAGCTAGGTGTTTCCTCCCCATATGGCTCTGGACAACCAATGCAGACCCACCGCGTTGTTGGAACTCAAGGTCGCCGCTTTCCTGGTCGACCTGAGGTCCTAACTGCTAGTGCAAAAAGCACCGTCGTTCCTATTAAGGATGCTGATAGCAAGCATCCTTACCCTCATTGCACCAAGTCCTACCTCCATGCCAAGCACTTGAAGCGCCATCTCCTTCGCCGTAAGTCGCTGTTATCCCCCGCAGACAGCAGGCCGCTTGTATCTTGTCTTGCCACGCAACTCGTATAGACTAACTAATTTCCTGCATAGATACTGGTGATCACCCTTATGCGTGTGTACCTTGCCAAGATGCCTTTTCTAGAAGTGATATTTTGAAGCGCCACTTCCAAAAGTGCTCCATTCGCCGTGGAAATCCCGACGGAGTGAGCCACTTGTCCCACCCTCAAGGTCATGTTAAGAATCATGCTCGGACTGGGAAGGCTGGTAGTCTCGGCAAGGAGGGTGACAAGAACCACGTTCATGGGTTGAACAACATGCCCTCCGACTGCGTGGCTTATCCTTTCGACGTGACTCCCTTTTCTGACGGCATAAAAAACAAGGCCAGTGACAAAAATTACGTTTTCTCGTTCCGCCGGCAACAACCTTGACCCAAATGACAAAGCCCCTAACATGGGGGTGCCTCAGCCCTATGGGCTCATGTTCTTACTCTATAAATAATGAGCGGATGCCTAGTTACCGCGTAGTCCGGGCCTAGAGTGGAATGTCATGCTGTCGGATAAGGTTGCCTCTGTTGATTGAACAGCACGCCTCTCACCTGCGGCGCAAATCTGTCCCGTCCGTTAACGCTGTATTAGCATCGTTTTATCCAACGTCTGATGGGTCATCGCACGAAGACGTGGATCAAGAACGACGTTCTGTTTTCTGATGAGCTACGGGTCCCTAAAATTCCTACCGCCCCGCATCTTGACTTCTGGCTTCGATGCCGAAATCGTCCACTTTTGGTTTCGACCTGCCGAGAACCGCGTCGACGCTGTTTCCCATTATTTTTTTTCTTTCTTCAACTGTTCCACAATAGGTCAGCGGCTGATGCTGTATGTTATAAAGATGGCGCATAATAAGTACAAGCAGAGACTTCTACGGGCCACAAAAATAATAGGTCGACTGGGCTCCATATGTCGTTAATACTTCGTGGGTATTTCGTAACTGACATTTGAAGTTTAGTTGAACGAATCCTTCCCTGCAACATGGATCGTTTCATGGTAGAAAGGGGGCAATTCGTCGCTGTTAAAATAAAATTAAGCTCGAGGGTCTTACTTCCTACCTTTGCATCGTTTTGTTTTTACTCTCTGATCGCGACCAGGAATTATGACAAGCATATATGCTGTTTCAGCTCCCCGCCAATTACGGTGCTGCATGGGAGGGATTGCCGTCCCGGTCCATCCCAGGGGTAGATCAGCCGGCAAGTTGGGACGTTCTGTTCCTTTCGCTTTGTCATACACCTTATTTTCTCTACAACGTTTTCCCCTTTGCTAAAACCTTTGACTCTTGACGGGCAAAACAAAAAAATACAGCGTTCCAATCCGAAACAGAGAGGAAACTCGAAATATAGTCATACCTCGCAAAATATGGTGAGCCTTTTTCCCAGTAGCCTCCGGGGGTCCGAGATCCCATCTCGGCCCCCAACCCCAACGGCTAGTCCCTTGTCTCACAGCCCTCCTACCTGCCTGAATCATAAGACTTCAGAGGGACTTCAAAGCTCCCAGAGGTCTGGACTGTTGTTCTCAGGTTCCACCTAAACATCCCAAGCATAATTGCAGGCGCACATCATAATCACCATCTGCTTTCCCCTGCAAATCTGCAGAATCAGCAAAGTCTTGGCATACATCGTGATTGCCATAGCCTACGCCAGGTTAAGATCCAGAGCTGCGTTTTGCCCTCAACTGACCCTGTGATGCAGATCTAGCTTTTATACAACAAGGCATAAGTTCGGGGCCGAGCAAGGTGTGTTGTGTTGTGCCGAGTTTAAGAGTGTTCCTAGCTGGCTCAGTTCGCGCAAAGTTATCTCTGCCAGAGTTTATTTTATTCCAGTCAATAAGGTGGAAATTCTGACCATCGTCACGACACCCAAGAAACGCCAGGGCCCATTTCCTTGGATACTCAACTCACAGCAACCTGTTGATCAAAACTTAAGTGGACGCGCGATAGCTCTGAGCATCCCATCAGTTGTCTACTGTCTGGGCGTTGCTGGGAACGTGCTGCAAGGTGGCAAAACGCAGTTCGTACCACAAATCCACAGCCGATCATCACCGCGGATGGATTTTCCAACCTTTTGCCTGTCAACAGTCGAAGCTCACAGTCCCGATTGTTCTCTCGTGACGGTTCTATGTCATGGTCACATGTCAAACTACCGTCCGCCGCAAATCACATTAAGCAGTTGTACAGCCGCAGATAAGGCACACCACACACACACCTATGTTGCAAGGTCGGCCAAAACACTTGGTGTGCCATCCACATGGGTCCCCCTGTCCTGTCCGCCTGGATGTGGTCGCTTGGTGCATCTCCTCCACACTCGCGAACAAGCTCATGCCTTATTACCTTCAAGTTGTGGACAAGGTTGATGCCGGTCTCTTGTGACCTCGCCCGACCCTCGCTACATTGTATATTCTGTTATGTTCCCGGCAGGTGTCAGATGTGTTTCTTTTTCACCATGTACTCTCTGTGATTGACCAGAGGTTGGCCGTAAGCCATCAACCTATGGTGGCCATTCACCACACGCTATCATGGGAAGGAAACTATCCAACTTCCTCATCCCAATGAGGCAGTTTGTGCCCTGCTTCTGGATATTCCACCGATCATCATTTTGACCCAAAATCAATTGCTCCAGTGGCAGCGACATGCTTTATTGGTTCATCCATAATCTAACATACTACTCCAGCCGTACCTACGACGACACAGCCCGACTCCAACCCTCCGAGTCCTTCCGGACCCCTCTGTGCTTTCCGTCCGTCGCTGTTCGAGACAACTTCTGCGCCATCAGTACCACAACCTCTAACTGCCCGTGATGCCTTATCAGCCTTCATAAGCACTAGTGCCAGCTACCAACTTCATCGAACTAGCAAGGCCTCCGGCAACACTAGTCGCAATACCCCTTTTCGAGACTGTATCGATACATTTGGATTACACAAGCCACGGGTCTTTAGCCGCCCGACTGGTGGCAAAGTGAACGGATATATCAAGTTCTCTTGGCCAAAAGACAAACGCGGAAAGCAATGCTCTATAGGGCGTACACATTCATTATCGGGCACTACTAGAGTAATTGAAATTGATGATTCTATAGACGCAGGTGATGAGTCTACGCCACCATCTGCAACGAATCTAATTGACACGTCCCCAGCGACCTCGATAAGCGAAGGCTCGATGGAATTCCCAACTGACGCATCAAGCTTTTCACTCGAATTCCAGTCCTAAATTCCATGCCGCGCACAACAGTCGAGGTTACGTCGTTCCCTATTCCCTCGAATGCTACCGCTGGAGCTACTTCTATGGGGCCTCCGAAGTTGTTGCCTTCCCATTATGGGTATGAATCCAAAATGGACGATACTGACAGACGCTTTCAGATGTTTTGTATGTAAATCGAAACGAACTGGTATCGGTGTGCAGAATTTAATGTTCGGTCTAATCATTAGATATTCGGAATTGGTGTCCCGGTCGCAGTGTGTTGGAAGACACAAACCCGTGGCTAAAGGATTTCGCCCCCATGCACCAGAGCCTTGGCGTCCGATCGGCCATCCAGACTCTAGCTGGTATTTATACCTACGACTATTTGCCCCTAGATTCCATTCGCGACAGAGTCAATCAGCGGTTCTCTGAAGCCGAGCAGCGGCTTTCTCCGCTGCTCAACGACTCAACCACCGCGCAGAATGAAGCGCAAGCCAATGAATCCATTACCATTGTCGACATACTCTCTATGCAGGATGTATTTTGGAACCGTGTGAATTCGCTTGCTTAGTCTATGCATGGGTGTGCATCCTCTGTCTCGAAGCTGCTTTCTGACTTTTGCGATAGACTATCTTGACAGAACGCCGCCTGAAGGATCCATCTTCTCCTCGTTGGCTTCAAGGCTTCCGCCAAGGAGAGAAGTTCCTTCACCAAACGTGCAATCATCGCCGTTGCGAATCTCGCAGTCCATCATTGTTGTCTGAGCAGTCATCTTGGCCCAACCCATGTCTCCATATCCCCTCCACACAGGTTCAATGCCCAGCAAGAGGCTACTTGATTCGATCGGCTGCTCCCATGGTGCGGAGAAAAAGATGTACAAAATTCATGGTGGTTGTGGATTTTCCAAGAAACTGCTTCACGTCCTCAGCCAGGGAACGTATTGCGCAGCACGGCTGCAACAGGAGCCAGAGAGCCCCATCGTACCAATGACGGCACATTTTCTGTGCAGAGAGCTGCTTGAAATGAGGCAATGGGGGGCTCTGAGTCGGAGGGCAGGGAGGCTGCCAAGTGCGCGCCTGTGATTGAATGGGTACGATCTCAATCAGAGGGTTATCAGATCGACACGAATGCATCTATGACGGATGTGACAGCTGAAGCATAGCGCTTTGCCGCAATCCTTTGCAATGGAGCTCTGAGTCGGAGGGTAGGGAGGCTGCAAGGTGCGGGCCTGTGATTGAATGGGTACGATCTCAATCAGAGGGTTATCAGATCGACACGAATGCATCTATGACGAATGTAACAGCTGAAGCATAGCGCTTTGCCGCAATCCTTTACC